ATTGTAGACTGTAAGTGGATTTTTAAAATTAAAGAAGGAGATTCAAATTCAGAAAATAAGAGATATAAAGCCAGATTAGTGGCCAAAGGTTTCACTCAAAAAGAAGGAGTGGACTACAATGAAATATTCTCTCCAGTTGCCAAGTATACTACAATTAGAATTTTACTGGCTTTATCTGCTCATTTTAACTGGAAAATAGATCAACTTGATGTTAAAACAACATTTCTAAATGGTGATCTTGATGAGACAATATACATGACTCAACCCAAATGATTTGAAATTAAATCGAAATCAAATAAGGTTTGCTTGTTGAAAAAATCTCTTTATTGGCTTAAACAAGCTCCCAGGTAATGGTATTTGAAATTTAATTCGTTTGTGCAGACTTTAGGTTTTGTAAAAAGCAGTTATGACTCCTTCTCTTCTATAAAGGTTCGAGTGGACCTGAATCCATTTATTTGTTACTATATGTTGATGATATATTGCTTGCTTGTCATGATAGAAGTGAAATTGATTTCATTAAATCAAAGTTAAAATCTGAATTTGAAATGAAGGATTTAGGACAAGCTAAAAGGATTCTTGAAATGGAAATAGATAGAGATAGAGATAATTACATATTAATGCTAAAACAAGGATCTTATGTGAAGAAAATTCTTGAAAAATTTTCTATGCTTAATTGTAAGCCTATTACTCTTCCTATTGCTAATCACTTTAAATTGTCTAGTGAACAATCACCTAAAACAAATGATGAATTAAAGAGAATGGAGAAAGTACCTTATACTAACACTGTAGGCTCTATCATGTACCTCATGGTCTGTACCAGACCTGACCTAGCACATGGAATTAATGTTTTAAGTAGGTTCATGGCCAACCCAGGTGAAACTCACTGGCTTGCAATAAAATGGATGTTAAGATACTTAAAAGGGTCATCTAAATTAGGTCTAATGTATAGAAGAAGCAATGAAGAGATAACATTAAAGGGTTATACAGACTCAGATTTTGCTGATGACTTAGATAGGAGAAGATCCACATCTTCCTATATTTTTACTTTTTGTAATGGATGGATAAGTTGGAAGTCACAGCTACAGAAATTAATTGTCTTATCATCTACAGAAGTTGAATACATTGCAGCTTGTGATACTGTTAAAGAAAGCATCTAGTTAAGAGGCTTATTGAATGAAATTCGTTTTTCATATAATTCTGCTAACATTTACACAGATAATCAAAGTACAATACACCTTAGTAGGAACCCTATATATCATGATAGAACCAAATATGTAAACATAAAATTTCACTTTGTGCAAAATATGGTTGAAAAATGTTTGATCGGGTTGATTAAAATTCCTACAGAGTTCAATCCCTCTGATTTGAGAACTAAGGTACTGCCTCTAAACAAATTTAAAAATTGCTTGAAGATTCTAAATATCACATAAAGGGATGATTAATTTAGAACTTCAAGCGTTTTTATGATAAGGTTGAACTGATCTAATTTTTTTGTTTTTTTACAGGAACTTAGAGTAAATGAAGCTAATTGATTTAGTAACAGGATCCATTAGTAAAGACCAAGATTCAGATCAGCAAGATAGAGATTGTTAACAAATTTTGGGCTTGGGTTGGTGGGCTGCATCTTGGTTGGGCCAATTTACATACAATCGGAGCTGACCTTTCTAATAAAAACGTCATTTGAAAACACGATTTCAGCCTCTTTTAAGGGATGTGAATCTGTTGTCCACATGGCTTCATTCCAACCGTTGGATTGTGACTATTGGAGTGATAAGATATATACTTGACCTTGGCACTATTCAAATTCTGGATCCTTCTTTCAGTCTCTTCGTCTCTCTCCGTTTTCTGAGTGAAAATTAGGATTTTGATCTCTGTAAATTTGTAATCGATCTTTGTGATTGAAATGGTTATTCTTAGTGGAAACATCTGATTGTTTAGTACAGTCAATAGATATTGATTTCGTGAGGGTTTTCTGTTTGAGAAGAGGCGAGAGAAACTCGAAAAAATCTGAAATTTCTTCGTACATTTTGTACTGATTTTTGGTTGATATTAGTGGATCTTGAGCTAAATCCTTTAGTGGATGCAACGGGTGACTAGGTCTCACGACTGAACATCCGAGCCCTTCCAAGGACGAAAAATCTCTGGTATTCTTCATTTTAATTTTTGCAATATTCATTTACTTTCACAAATCGATCCTCAGATTTAAAGGTTATAAAATAACAGAAGTATACATTGATAAAAACTAAAATTTAAAAAATTAAAAAAAAAAAAGTTTTCAATTTATGTGTGTAAAATTATTTTATTGAAAAATGTGTGGTTGCAAATGAGTTTTGAAAAAAAATGAATTTTTAGAATAAAAGAGATTCAAACAAGGGCTGTAGGTACAATAACTAGTAATTTGTTTATCGATCTAGTACCGTCTATCTTACAAAAGACAAAAGCTGTTGATCTACAAAAATATGCCAACAGAATCTCGATCACCTCCTCTCCAAGTAAATGTTACCTGCACACTAAAACACTCCATTAGAAGGGAAAGATCACTGGTCAAGAAAAATGTTCAACGGTCGCTTGCGCTCCAATTGTCATGTTAACGGTCTAACAAGATATAATATAGTAATATGAGTATAAAAGGGGAAGATGAGATTTGACTAGAGTTAGGTTACCATGTGAAGTAATATCAAAAATATATAGAAAAGTGAATGGGCCAAGTGGGTTTAGTAAATTGGGCTCAAGGTCAAGCCCAATATGAAGTCGTTAAAGTTTCTTAGTTTAATAGGTCTAATCTAATTAAATAATCAATGTCGAGTATAGTCAATATGGAACCACCTCCATCACGCACATGCCATGTAATATATAAATATAACAAAAACCTTCTAATTTAAGTATAAAAGGGGAAGATGAGATTTGGCTAGAGTTAGGTTACGATGTGAAGTAATATCACAAATATATAGAAAAGTGAATGGGCCAAGTGGGTTTAGTAAATTGGGCTCAAGGTCAAGCCCAATATGAAGTCATTAAGGTTGCTTAGTTTAATAGGTTTAATCTAATTAAATAATCAATGTCAAGTATGGTCAATATGAGACCAACTCCATCACGCACATGCCATGTAATTTATAAATATAACAAAAACCTTCTAATTTAAGACTGTGTTCGGCTAAGATTATATCCATGTTGAACAATTAGATTTATCTCTATTCCCAAAATACTCCATGAATCAAAATCAAACTACGACTTATTCAAAAGTCTTTGGCTAATAAACAGATAATTCTACTCGTATTCTATAATTATCGTTTCGACTCTCGTGCCTTATTAATAAACATCTAGTGCTTATAGCATATTCAAGAGACTCTTTAAATATAAGATATTTTTTAATTTAAAGAGCTAATCCTTAAAATATGTCCAAAAGACTATTTAAATTAAAATTTTAATCTAGAAAGTGAGTTTGGCTCTCCGAATTCGAAAAGCCAAAACCCACTATCTATAATTAAATGCACTCAAAGTATTTTAATTTTCAATGGAGAAAAATAATACAATAATTTGGAGGGAAGCTAGTGAAACTAAAAGATGGGGAAAACAATAAATATTTTTTGAGAGTAGTAAAATTAAATGTTTAATCTATTATATAATTAAGCCGAGAGGACAATCCGTTATCATATGAGCATGTTTGAGCCCCATTTTTGAAAGAAAAAGCCTCCTTGCACAAGTCTTTTTGCACAAGACCTGTACAAGGGATGTCACATGGGGATGACCTCATGTGTGGGGTTCACCTCCATGTGTGTGCACCTGTACAGACCCCGTGCAAAGGCGCCTGTGCAGGTAACACAACTCTTTTTGGAGATAATGCATTTTGAAATAATATTTTGACGGAAAAGGTGTCATTAAATGAAATATGTGGTTAAAAATAAAAGAAAGAAAAATATATTTTTAAAATAATTGTAACCAAACAAGAGCTATATGTTTCCTTTTTGATTTATGCCATATGTACAGAGGAGGGATTCACAGACC